TGAGGATGGAGGGGAAGGGGAGAGGAGAAGAGGATGAGATGGAGGGAATGGGAGGGAGAAGAGGGGATGAGAGGGAGGAAGGTGGGAAGAAAAGGCTGACCAGAGGGGATGGAGATGGAGGGCCAGGGAGGGAAGGGGAGAGCAAGGAGGGAATGAGAGGGGAGGGTAGGGGAGAGAGAAGAAGGTATGAGGAGGGGAGGGAGGTGGAGGGAGAAGAGGAGATGAGAGGAGGGAAGGGGAGAGGGAGATGAGGGGATGGGCGAGGAGGGAGGTGGGAGGGAGTAAGACAGGAGGATGAGAAGGGGAAAGAAGAGGCAAAGGAGGGGAGGAGAAGGCACAGAGGGGAGGAGAGGGAAAGGGAGTAGAGAAGGGTCTGGCGCTGCCAATATTTGAAGTGTCTTTTCTGTTTGAATGGATTATCCAATCAATCTCTGCTTTAATGACGGGTGTACCACGTTTATGCTCTGAAGGTGTCCGATTTGGGGTGAAATCCAGCTCCATGTTTTCCAGTCCTCTGATTTAGGGTGCTTTCACTCTTTGAGACTCAGTTTCTTATTCGTCGGTGGTGGTGGGATTCAGATGCCGCATCAGCTGTGGGGAGCTGTGAGGATGCTCGAGATCATCTGTGGGTAGGATTAGCACGCGTAATTTGGCGGTTGAGTAGTGATGGCTTTTCGCTCTTCTGGGTTCAAACAAAATTCAGATAATAGAACAGGACAGGCTGGCGCTGCGTGGCCAGGATGTCTCTTTTCGCTACTCCATCCCAATTTCATATCACTCCGTCCAATATCCTCACCTCAACGCCATCCGCCACCCGGCTCTTTCCCGGTGGCGCAGGCCGCAGCCTCTGCCTGCAAAGGCTGCTCTGCCCAGCCGGGATTTTCTCACAGCCTACAAGGGGCGAGGTGGAGCATGGTTTCATATCGAGACTACTCTCAAGGACAGTAAAGCGGGGACAGAAACACCTTCCCGAAAACGATCTGCGGAAGCCAGGTCTCAGGATGCTGGAGGGAGTCCTCTCCCGGGTGATCCGGGGCGAGACTGTGGCTTCTCTGTGTTGTAGGCCTTCCATTTCGTGTGCTAGGTTGGACTGGTGACTGGGTACAATGTGACTGCAGAGGTGGATATCTGGGCCCCAAGGGGCTGTCAGGCCCTTCTGCATCCCCACCTCCTCCTCCAGCTTCAGTTCCATGGCAGCAGCCTGCGCCCGCCTCTGTCCCTGAGGATCGTGGGGTGCTGCGGGAGGGCAGCGCATGAGGGGGCGTCGATTCACTCACAGGGGACGCTGTCTGTCTGGCGCTGTCTCATCCTCAGCCGTGCGTCTGCGGATCTTGTGCGCGCTGAAGTGTCATTGCCACCATCTTTGCAGAAGGAGAAAATAAATTTACAAGCTGCCAGAGAGCTCCACTGACTCAGAGTAAAATCATGAATCTATTCTGAGCAATTGCAACAGAAGCAGTTTCTAGGCTCTGTGTGCACTGATTTAGTCCGTACGCGCTGTGTGTGCGTGTGGTGGTAGATGAGGAGACAGGCAAAGCAGACCTGGCAGCCTCCATGGAACCACTTTCTGTTTTGCAGGCTCCATCTCCATCTGGAAAACAAAACTATAGAATAAATATAAATAAATAAACGCCAGTCTCTGTGCTCTGTAGATTATTCATTCATTCCTTTCTTCATTCAAAAGTATATGTGGCCGGGCGCAGTGGCTCACGCCTGTAATCCAAGCACTTTGGGAGGCTGAGGTGGGTGGATTACCTGAGGTCAGGAGGTCGAGACCAGCTTGGCCAACATGGTGAAACCCTGTGTCTACTAAAAATACAAAAATCAGCAGGTGGCGGGCGCTGTACTACAGCTACTCAGGAGGCTGAGGCAGGAGAATCATTTGTACCCTGGAGGTGGAGGTTGCAGTGAACCTAGATCATGTCACGGCACTCCAGCCTGGGTGACAGGGTGAGACTCTGTCTCAAAAAGAAAAAGAAAAATAGTGTATGTATAAATGGCAGATATTTACTGATATCCCACTATGGGTCAGCACTGAATTAAATGTGATGGATAGGTTGAAACCCAAGACAAACTCTCTCTCATAAATCTTTTATCTTTGGGGGTTCATCAGTCTGTAAGTTTAACTTAAAATAATGTCGCAAATAAGTTCTACAAAAGTGTAAGCAGGTGAGATGCAGTGAAGGGAGGGATTCCTTTTCAGAGCAGCCAGTCAAGGAGGTCTTCCTGGGAGGTGGTGGTATTTGGAGTTAACCTGAGGAAGGAGGGCAGGAAACTTTGGATTACTAGGAAGTAACCATTATGGGCAGAGGGAATAGTGCCTGGAAACACATGGAGATGAAAATGTTTGTCCTGCTTGAACAGCATAGGAGGCCACAGTGTCTGGAAGAGGATGATGCTAAAGAGAATGGGTGAGGAATCTGAGAGAGTGGGCCAAACTGACTCTACTTACATTTATGAATAAATACATGAATAAATGTATCATTACGGAGCTTCACGATGTTTTGAGGTAATATTTTTTCTTTGTTGGATGAATGATGGGGATGGGATCAATGGATGGGTGGCTGAATGGATCTGCTGATGGATGACTATGGAGGATGGGTGAGTGGGCAGATGGATCCACGTGGGGTGAATAGATGTGTGGACGTGATGGGTAGATGTGTAAACGATCAACTAGATGGTTGGTTGGATGAATACTACAAATAGAATAGACGCCTTTTTTCTCTAAGGGTTAGGGGTTAATTTTGAATACTAGTAGTCCCTTGCTTGGTTCATACCCACTCCCCATGGGAATATTATGACTTTGGGATACACACATAGACACATACACACACAGATATTTGGAAGTAATAGTGAATTCATAAGGATAATTGATGGTTATTTTCTGGGATGGAAATTTTACAAAGATGGCCTCTTTTTGTATGAAAACACTTGTGGGGTGTGGTATTATCCATTCTCAAATTGCTATAAAGAAATACCTGAGGCCAGGCGGGTGGCTCCAGCGCCTGTAATCCCAACACTTTGGGAGGCTGAGGCGGGTCGATCACCTTGAACCTGGCAAGGTCAGGAGTTCGAGACCAGCCTGACAACATGGAGAAACCCCGTCTCTACTAAAAATAGGGTAATGAGCTGGGCATGGTGGTACATGCCTGTAATCTCAGCTACTCGGGAGGCTGAGGCAGGAGAATTGCTTGAACTCAGGAGGTGGAGGTTGCGGTGAGCCACTATTGCACTCCAGGCTGGGCAACAAGAATGAAACTCCTCAAAAAAAAAAAAAAAAAAAAAAAGAGGAAGCACTTGTGACTGCAATTCCCATAAAGAAAGAAGTTTAATTGGCTCTCAGTTCTGCAGGCTATGAAAGCATGGTGTTGGCATCTGCTCAGCTTCTGGGGAGGCCCCCAGACGTCTTACAATCATAGTGGAAGGTGAAGCAGGAACAGGCACATCACATGGCCAGACAGGGAATGAGAGGAGTGGCTACACACTTTAAACGACCAGATCCCTTTGTGATAATACTACGAGAACAGGCCAAGGGGATGGTGCTAAACCCTTCATAAGAAATCCATCCTCATGATCTAACTACCTCCCCTCCAAGCCCCACCTCCAATACTGGGGATGACACCTGACAAGATTTGGTGACACAGATTAAGCCATTTCATTTGCCCCTGGTCTCAAATCTCGTCCTTCTCACATTAAAAAGATACAATCATGCCTTCCCAAAAAGTCCTCAAAGTCTTAACTCATTCACTCAAAAGGCCAGAGTCCCAAGTCCTGCATCTGAGACAAGGCAAGTCTTCCACCTATTAGCCTGTAAAATCAAAAACAAGTTAGTTACTTCTAAGATACAATGGGATACAAGTGTTGGGTAACATTCCCATTCCAAAAAGGGAACATTGGCTAAAAGAGTGGCTACAGGCCCCATGCAAATCCAAAACCCAATAGGGAGTCATCAAATCTTAAAGCTCCAAAATCATCTTATTTGACTCCATGTTCCACATCCAGGCACACTACGCAAGAGGTGGCTCCTAAGACCTGGGGCAGGCTGAGCACATTTTCATCATCAATTCTCATTTTTCTGATTAGTTAATCAAGTCCTGAACGCCTCTTCTCCCCATGCACTCCCAGGCAATCTTGGTGAGATCCCACCATGGCATCATCTGCAAGGATGGTGCCCCCTGGATGGTGCCCCCTGGATGGTGCCCCCTGGATGGTACTCCTGGATGGTGCCCCCTGGATGTACCTCTGATGGTACTCCTGGATGGGTGCTGTCCCGGATGCAGCTCTGATGGTGTCTCGGATGGTGCCCCTGGATGGTGCCTCTGGATGGTGGTTCCCCAGATGGTGCCCCTGGATGGTGCCTCTGGATGGTGCCCCCCTGGATGGTGCCCCTGATGGTGTCCTCCGGATGGTACCCTGGATGGTGCTCCCCTGGATGGTGTCCCCGATGGTGCCTCTGGATGGTACCCTGGATGGTGCCCCCTGGATGGTGTCCTCGGATGGTACCCTGGATGGTGCCTCTGACAGGCCCCCGACGGCGTTCCGACGGCGTCCCTGACGGCACCTGACGGCGCCCCGATGGTGCCTCTGATGGTGCCCCTGATGGTGTTCCCGATGGTACTTCTGGATGGTGTTTCTGATGGTGCTTTTGATGGTGTTGGATGGTGCCCCTGGATGGTGTACTCCTGATGGTACTCATGGTGCCCCCTGGATGGTGCCCCCTGGATGGTGCCCCCTGGATGGTACTCCTGGATGGTACCCCCTGGATGGTGCCCCCTGGATGGTGCCCCCTGGATGATGTCCCCCGGATGGTACCCCTGGATGGTGCCCCCTGGATGGTACCCCTGGATGGTACCCTTGGATGGTACCCCCTGGATGGTGCCCCCTGGATGGTGCCCCCTGGAGTCATGCAGTGCACAGCACTGTGATCTGATCTCCAATGACCCTCTGCATTGATGGGTCCCCAAATCCCCATCCCCAGCCCGGACTCCCTCATGAGCTCCAGAAACAGATATCCACCCATCCGCTGCTCCCATGGGACAGCATCCAGTACAGACAGTGCAGGTCAGAGCTGATCGAATCGCCAGCAAACCCAGTCCATCAGCCACAGGTCAAGAATCCCAAGATACATTTTGCACAGGTCAGCTCTTGCCCACATGTTTCAAATCATCCCCAGTTCCCCAATCTCCATTGTCACCACCTGTTTTAAGCCACCACTCCCTCTTGCCTGGACCAATGGGATCCTAAGTGGGACACTGTGAGGAAATTATTTCTATTTTTTACATGTTATCTTTAAAAATGATGTATTTCTTATATCTGCATGTGTGTGTGTGTGTGTGTGTGTGTGATGTTGCTGCAGTAGCATGCAATTTACAAGTAACTAGCTAACCCTCCTTGAGGACTCTGTTGAAAATGTTATTACTAAAACAGTTTAGTGAAATGGAGTCACAGCATGACTAACTCGTTTCTAAGGTCATAGGCTGGGACCCGAGTTGCCTCATCTCTGAAACAGACATCAGAGCACGGGCCACCCTCAGAGATGTGTCAAGCAAGGGCACAGCCCTGGGCTTAAAGCACAGACTGTGCAGGACTGCTGCCTGATGTTGAACCTCAGATCTGCTGCTGACCAGCTGGGTGAAGGTGCACAGCTTACCGCCTTTCCCGTCCTTCCGTTTCCTCACACGAAAATTGAGATAATATTGGAATATACCTCAAAGGAGCCTCAGTGACTGAATGGTACAGAGTAAGTGCTATAATATTGTTTATTAAACTACACATAATACATAATTTTTAAGATCATGGAGTGGACTCAACTTTGGCAGACATGGGAACAGACAGGCATGCAGGAATGTTTCCTGGAGGGTACCACAAGTCCTCCTATGACCAGGGACCCCGCTGGAAATTCATTCCAATCAAGTTGCTGGTTATGGTTAAAAGCAAGGAGCTGCCCACTGTCCTCAGCAAAGTAACACAGGAATAGAACACCAAATACGACATGTTCTCTCTTACGAGCGGGGGCTAAATATTGGGTACTCATGGACATAACCATGGGACCCTTAAACGCCAGGGACTTCTAGAGGGGAGAGGGAGGGAGGGGGCAGGGGGTGAAAAGCCACCTATTGGGTACAGTGCTGATGGCCATTTATACCTCAGACCTAAGCGTCACACAAGATACCCATGGAACAAACCCGCACCTGGACCCCCTGAACTGATTATAAGAGTTGAAACAAAAATGAGGATCTGGGGCAGCGGGAACTGGAGTGATCCAGGTTGTTACTTTGTCCGAGGGAGTATGTGTGAGAGAGAGTGAGAGGAGAGAGGGGAATGAGAGAGAGAGAGAGAGAGAGAGAGAGAGGGAGAGAGAGGCAAGAGAAGAGAACGAGAGAGAGGAGAGAGAGAGGGGAAAAGAGAGAGAGAAAGAAGAGGGGAGAGGAAAGAGAGAGAAAAGATGGGAGAGACAGAGAGGCAAGAGAAGAGGAGAGAGAGGAGGAAAAGAGAGAAAGAAGAGAGGAGGGCCGGGCGCAGTGGCTCACGCCTGTAATCCCAGCACTTTGGGAGGGCGAGGGTGCACTCTGGGTGGATTACCTGAGATCAGGAGTTCGAGAGCAGCCTGGCCAATATGGTGAAATCCCATCTCTACTAAAAATAAAAAGAAGTTAGCTAGGCATGGTGGTGGGCGCCTGTAGTCCCTGCTACTTGGGAGACTGAGGCAGGAGAACTGCTTGAACCTGGGAGGTGGAGGTTGCAGAGAGCAGAGATCGTGCCAGCCTGGGTGACAAGAATGCAACTCTGTCTCAAAAAAAAAAAAAAAAGGAAGAAGAAGTGGAAAGGAGAGGAAAGAGAGAGAGAGAGAAAGAGAGAGAGAGAGAGGCAAGGAGCGGACAGCCTTTCTAAGGGATTCACAGGAGAAATAGACCCGGAACTCCAGACTGCCAAAGAGTATAAGGAGACCCAAAGGGGGCTACGGACACAGAGAGTCCTGAGGTCAGTAGAGATGTGGGTGAGGCCAGAGGATTGGTCCAGGCCTTCAACATGGAACTCACATCTTACTGCAGGGCCTGGAAAATTCCATCCTCTGCAGATCTTTCGACACCTTCCCCACGCACTTGCCTCCCCCCTTCCAGCTGGGGTTTCCATGGCAACAACCTGAGCTCCTGCACCATTCGCAAGAAGGTGGGAGCACTGAGCGCGCGGGGAACAGGGCAGAGGGACAGACGTCAAAAGCGTCTGCATCGGCGGTTCATGTGCGTATTTTGCACACATCGAAATGCGTCAGCAGCAGCAGCGTCTCCACAAAACGCAGAAAATTGGCTTCAGGGGCCACTGTGGATGTGGACAGAAATCCCAAACATCTTCTAAGCAGCAGCATTTGACGTCCTTACTCAGTCAGACATATCGATTGTGCCCCCCCTCATCCCTCCAGACACCGCTCTAGACACGGAGAGTGAAATAATGTAAAGAAAGGAGCCGGGTCTCTGCCCTCCTGGAGCCGAGGGCTGTTCATGCCCTCATTGACGCATCCATCCGTCCTGTCTTTCCCCTGGTGTTTACTGAGGGCATACTTAGTGGTACACCCTGGCCAAGCATGGTGGGTGCAGCAGAGAACTCAACAGGCATATTCACATACTGGGACATGACTGTTCCAGCAGGGGCGATACATGGGAACGTAGGTAAGATTTCAGGTGGTGGCGAGTGTTATCAGGAACAATAAGTCAGATTCAAAGAGTGGGGTGGGGGATTTTAGATTGGGAGTCAAGGATGCCTTCTTGGAGGTGGTGATATTTCAATTTCAATGGAGGGAGGGAACAGTGATGGGAATATCAAGAAGAAAAACAGTCCAGACAGAAGAATGTATGCCTTGAAAAGCCGTGAGGCTGATGGCTGCCCAGCCTGAGGACCGTCGAGGAAGCCAGTGTGGTCACGGTGGAGGGAGCAAGGGAAAAAGTGGACAGATATTTGTTGGAAGTGAAGTAGGGGCCTGATCATTCGGAACAAGATGGCTGATTGTCAAACTATGGCCTGCTTGTTTTTGTACAATACAGTTGTGCTGGAACACAGGCACATCCACCGTCTGTGTTTTGTCTAGGACCACTTTTGTACTATAAAGGCAAAGTTGAGTTGCTGTAACCTAGACTGCAGGGAATCCCTTTTTCCACATCAGGTGACACTATCCATTCATTCACAGATTCTGGAAACTAAGATGTGAGGGGCCACCATTCAGCCCACCACAGATGGATGAGTAGATAGGTTAATGGATGGAAGGATGGTGGGTGGAAGGATGGATAGTAGAATAGATGGATTATTAGTAAGGTGGATGCTTGGATGGAAGAGTGAATGGATAGATGGGATACAGATTGATGGGTGGTGGGTAGATGGATGTATGGAATGATGGGTGGATGGATAGGTGTAGGGTGGATGATTAGATGGAAGAGTGAATGTATAGATGAATATAGATTGATGGGTGGATAGATGGATGTATGGAATGATGGATGGATGGATAGCTGTAGGGTGGATGATTAGATGGAAGAGTGAATGGATAGACGGGTATATAGATTGATGGGTGGTGGGTAGATGGATGTATGGAATGATGGATGGATTGATAGGTGTAGGGTGGATGATTAGATGGAAGAGTGAATGGATAGATGGGTATACAGATTGATGGGTGGTGGGTGGATGGATGTATGGAATGATGGGTGGATGGATAGGTGTAGGGTAGGTGATTGGATGGAAGGATGAATGGATGGGGGTATGTAGATTGATGGGTGGTAGGTGGATGGATGTATGGAATGATGAGTGGATGGATAGGTGTAAGGTGCATGATTGGATGGTGAATGGATGGGGGTATGTAGATTGATGGGTGGTGGGTAGATGGATGTATGGAATGATGGGTGGATGGATAGGTGTAAGGTAAATGATTGGATGGAAGGGTGAATGGATGGGGGTATGTAGATTGATGGGTGGTGGGTGGATGGATGTATGGAATGATGGGTGGATGGATAGGTGTAAAAGATTACATGATTGGATGGAAGGGTGAATGGATGGGGGTATGTAGATTGATGGGTGGTGGGTGGATGGATGGATGAAGTGATGGGTGGATGGTGAGAGTTGGAAGAATGACAGGATGAATGCTTTAGGTGGGTTGTTGCATGGGTGGCTGAATGGATGGATAGTTGGATAGTTGTGTGCATTAGATGGAAGTGTGGATACGTGGATGGGTGGATGGATGGAGTTTGGTGGGTGGAGGATGGTAGAGATTGAAGAGATACTTGTCTGTCTTGGTGAATGGATGGGGGTATGTAGATTGATGGGTGGTGGGTGGATGGATGGATGAAGTGATGGGTGGATGGTGAGAGTTGGAAGAATGACAGGATGAATGCTTTAGGTGGGTTGTTGCATGGGTGGCTGAATGGATGGATAGTTGGATAGTTGTGTGCATTAGATGGAAGTGTGGATACGTGGATGGGTGGATGGATGGGTTGGTGGGTGGAGGGATGGTAGAGATTGAAGAGATACTTGTCTGTCTTTGTTATAGGTCAGTTTTATTTCATACAAACTCCCTGGATTCTGGAGTTACTCCTGTGTTTTGGCTGCCGACACTTCCCACTTGTGGGAAGTCCTATCTTGGGCATTTAAATTTCTTGGAATAGGGGTTGGTGAATGAGGAGGGTGAGCAGCAGATGGGCTAATTGTGTACACACTTCAGTGACACAGAAAGGTTGAGTAATGCTTTCCTCGTTATGCTCCACCTTCCCGGTGAGGTTTCCCAGGCTCTGTCCTGGGCACTCTGTTTTCTCCAGACCCTCCCAGGGAGACCTCAGGGTGACATGCTGAGAGTGATGTCTCAGCCACCACGTTGCAGCCTCTGTTACTATCCTCCCTCACCTGACTCTAAAGTGAGGTGAAGCAATTGGGAGGATACTATCAGAACTTTTATTTCACTATGTGTTTCATTTTCAACCTTTTGTTTTTAAGTGTGTGTGTGTGTGCATTTTTGAGACAGGGTCTCACTCTGTCGCCCAGGCTGGAGTGCAGTGGCACAATCATAGCTCATTGCAGCCCCCAACTGGGCTCAAGCGAGCCTCACACTTCAGCCTCTTGAGTAGCTGGGACCACAGGCATGTGCCACTCCACCCGGCTGAGCCCAGCTAATTTTTATTTTATTTTATTTCATTTTTGTAGAAATGGGATCTCACTTTGTAGTCCAGGGCGGTATCAAACTCCTGCTTCAAGTGGTCCTCCCTCCCCAGCCTCCTAAAGTGCAGGGATTGGAGGCGTGAGACACTGTGCCCAGCATTTAAAGGTATGTTTGTAGTTTTGTAATGTATATAAGGTCTCCAGTCAGAAATGCCTTTCCTATCTGTTCCTGCTATTTCCCCCTCCTTCATCAGGAGCCATTTTCTTTTTCTTTCAGTGTCTGCTGCACAACCCTAGTGACCCCCATCACCATGATTCCTGGATGATTGCCGCGTCCTCCTCCGTGGTCTCACTCTTGCCCCTCCCAATAGTCCCTTTTATGCACCTCAATTTCACTCCAGAGTCTGGAAATTTCCACCATCTGAGAGTCTTTCTGCCCACTCCTCAGCTCATCCAATCCTACCTTCCTCATCCAATCGCGTTTCCATGGTGACCGCCAGAGCCTGCTTCTGAGGTCTGTGCCAAGTGAGAGTTTCTGTGGGGGGACAGGTCAGAGTGATGGACGTCAGAGTAGCTGAGCTGAGAAGCGAGGCAGGGATCACAGGAATCATCCACCCACCACCCATCAATCTCTCTACCCATCTATCCATTCACTCTTCCATTCAGTTATCCACCTTACTATTCATTCATCTTCTCTACTATCCGTCCTTTCATCTACCATCCTTCCATCCATTAGCCTCTCTATTCATCCATCTGTGGTGGGCTGAATGATGTCCCCCAGTGATATGAACATCTTCGTATCCAGAGACAGTGAGTGTCACCTGATGTGGCAAAAGGGATTCCCTACAGTCTAGGCCACAGCAACTCAACTCTACCTTTACAGTGCAGGAAGGGTTCCACAACCGTCCTCCTGTCGGTGGTTCACTGTGACTTCTGTCCCAGCTTCGCCCTTGGATACACTCATTCATTCATTCAGATGATATTTATTTGCAGATGTGTTCAGACCCCTTTGCCTCTCAACTGTTGTTTGAGTCACCACCTGTGACATCCTCATCTTTCATCATCCTAAAGAGAAGTTCTGTCTTTCTCCTGTGGAACCCTTAATGGATCCCTAAGGATCTGAGAATAAACAGCTCCTTCCTTATCACAGTTTGCAAGCAGCAGGCGCCCACAGCGTGCCCAGTGGAGGAGCCCAGGGTGGCAGCTGTGTTGGAAGCAGGGGCCACACAATTCATCTTAATGCCCCAGCCCCGAAGAACTAGCACACGTACCTTCACGTTACGGAAAATAAAAAGCAATGCAAATTTCTGGAGTAACACAAGTGAAACAGTTTTCAATGCTTTATGCCATTGCGTGGGATTCTACCTGCATTGTTCTAAAGAATTTCAGTTTGAGGAACGTTTGTAGGGCACAGAGGAAGTGCCCCAGCTGACAGGCACTTAGGGCAAGACACTCACAAAGTTCCCAAGGTGGGTTCAGCCGGGCGCGGTGGCTCACGCCTGTAATCCCAACACTTTGGGAGGCTGAGGTGGGTGGATCACCTGAGGTCAGGAGTTTGAGACCAGCCTGGCCAACATGGTGAAATCCTGTCTTTACTAAAATACAAAAAAAAAAAGCTGGGCATGGTGGCAGGCGCCTGTAATCTCAGTTACTTGGGAGGCTGAGGCAGGAGAACCTCTTGAACCTGGGAGGTGGAGGTTGCAGTGAGCGGAGATGGTGCCACTGCACTCCAGCCTTGGTGACAGAGCAAGACTCTCTCAAACAAAACAAAACAAAACATATATATTTAAAAATGTATATTTTAAATGAAATACATAAATAAAAATATAAAAATATGTAATTAATTTCTCTCTCTCTATAGGTATTCATTTATATACATTATATATAGACACTTCTTTAAAAAATTACTCTGATCCTCCAAATAGATAGATAGATAGATGTCAATAACCCCCAAACATAGATGCTAGCAAAACTTTGTTAAATTATATATATATATATATTTGGAGAGTCAGAGTAATTTTTTTAAAGAAATGCTTATTAGTGATGGAAGTTCCTGAGTCATCACCCTCCAATAGCTGTCAGTGCTATCAAACAATATCAAGCCATCAAGTCTCCTCACTCCCATCTTCAGGGCCTGTCTGTAACGCAGCCTCTGCAAGCACCCAGCAGCATCCCCTCTTATCTCTCTCCCCACCACTCATTATGTGCCACTGTGTTCTCGGGACACCTCAGGCTTCTTCCTGACTTTGCACCTGCCCACAACCTTCTTCCCCAGGTCTTCCCACCACTGGGTACTTCAGACCCCTTGGGAGTGAGTGCTACGGTGCGTTTGCCTCCTCCAGGAAGCCTTCCTGGCCTCCTCTTGAAAGTAACATGTGCCCCTGTTAGTATCACGTCACTCTGTTTCTTTCTTGCACTTAGAATCTTCTGAAATCATCTTCCTGGGTCGAGTTTTGTGTTTACTTTCTTTCTATTCTCACAAAATGGAAGATGCCGAAAGACAGGCTCTTTGCAGTTCTGCTCACCGTCGTACCCCTGATGCCTGCAGACAGAGCAGCCTGCAGGAGGGCTGCCTAAACAAGCACTTAACCTGAAAGAGGAAAGAATCGGATCCCTGCAGCCAATGGGGAGATGGTGAATGCTGGACAGCCAGCTCTGGAGGCCAGGGTGGCAGGCCCGCTGGTGTTTGCCAGCTTCCATGGTGCAAATGCCTCCCCAATGTGGGCAGTTGCAGGAGCCAGCCCATGCACTGGGCGTGGAGGTGGGAGGTCAGCAGCCCGCGCATCGACTACAGACACAATGGATGTCAATCACCCCCAAACACAGATGCTAGTAAAATGTAGTTAAATAACTAGGAAAGCATATGTTTTGGGTGTTTCCCACCTTTGTTCTTTACATCATTTATTTAATTTTGAAAGTGCATGGAATGTCCTGTTTACTAAAGGATGTGCTTCAACATCTCACAAACTTCCTGCGAGTTGAGGCGTTGGCTCCTGTCCTCCAGTAGAAGCTGGCTCCAGCACACCCGTGCTGACAGCACCCTACAGTTTCCACCTGAGTTCCGCCGGTGAGCCCTGCCCGGGAAGGATTCAGACCCAGTCCCCCACGACCCTGAATCTCAGGCCCTGTGGAGAAAGATGTTTGCTCAGAAATGACCCCAGTCCCTAGGCAGCAGAGTGTGCACTGACCCGGGACACGCTCCCCCTGATCTGTGGCCATGACAGCTACCCGGGGTGGGAGAGCGGGGTGGGAGAGGGGTGGCCTTGGCTCCAGGGGTAGCCTTGTTCCTTCATGTGTATGGCCCGAACCCTTCCTGCTGCAGCTGGTGGAAGAGTCAGGGATGGAATACAGGGGCTGCAAGAGGAGGAGGGGAAGGAAGGACCGTCTTGAGGTTTGGGCAGCTGTGCTGAAAACAGGAGTGAAGATTTGGGTAAGCTTGATGTGCAAAGGCCTCTCTGACACGATGTCATAAGGAGCATGTGTTGCCACCATCCCAAGCGTTTCCACACACACGGATTCATTTCCTTTCTCCAGCCGCCCTGGGGGGTGGGACACGTGGCATCATTTTCTGCCTCAGAAGTGGAAACAGACTCAGAGAAGTGAGGCTCATCTGGGGTCACGTGGGAGGAAGAAATGAGCAAGGATCCTGTGGGAAGGCTTTGCCCCCTCTGCACACGTGGGTCTTCTTCTTATTATTCATGTTATTTTTAGTTTACGATTTGTTGTATGATTTTTAATTTCATGATATTTATTTTTTATTTTGTTTTACAGTATGTACCTATGAACACCCACCTAGGACACATAAAGAATAAGAGGTACTGTGTACTATCAGCATTTAAAACACTAGAAATGAGGCCGGGCACAGTGGCTCATGCATGTGATCCCAGCAATTTGGAAGGCTGAGGTGGGCGGATCACCTGAGGTCAGGAGTTCGAGACCAGCCTGACCAATATGGTGAAACTCCATCTCTACTAAAAAAAAATACAAAAATTAGCCGGGCGTGGTGGTCGGCGCCTGTAATCCCAGCTACTCGGGAGGCTGAGGCAGGAGAATCGCTTGAACCCGGGAGGCGGAGCTTGCAGTGAGCTAAGATTGCGCCACCGCACTCCAGCCTAGGTGACAGAGCGAGACTCCGTCTCCAAAAAAAAAAAAAAAAGAAAGAAAAACAAACAAACAAAACAAAACCACTGGAAATGGGTCTAGGAGAAGGTTGGAAGATTCTGCAGTCCAGCATCCTAGCTGGACGCCGAGCTCCAGAGCCAGGGACCATGGCCTCAAACTCAGCCGAGGTGTTGCCTGTGTTCCTAACCCGTCTATTTCACCATTCCCTTCTTACAATTTCTGGAAACTTCCCCTCCGGCCTCCCAGAATGCACACACCGTGACTCTAAGAATCAAACGAGCACATCCACGTGGTTCTAACAGCTGCAGGGCACTCAGTCAATGCCAAAACCACTTAGTGCTGAGGTTTTAAAGTCTTACTTTCACTAATAAATTTCAATTGGCAGAGAACAAACAAGATCTCCGTTCTCCCTGCGTCTGTACAAGCTGGTCACAGAGCGTTTTGCTTTGCAACCAAGGATGTTCTTGTTTCAGTCCAGACACACTTGGGACAGGTAATGCTTTGAAAGGTAGTTTTTTCTTTTTTCAACAAACATTTATTAACTACCGACTGTGTGCCAAGCTGAGGTTTTGAGTCCCCACCCTCCAAGTCTGGTTTTGGGGACTTCCTCTGTTCATTCCTCACCCCCCTCGCCTTCCGCACCCTACTGCGGTTTCCCTGGTGACAGACCGAGCCCGCCTCAGTGGTCCCACCAGGTAGGTGCTCCCCAGGGGAGGACAGGATGGATGGATGGCAGAGAAGGATTGAGAGACTCAGGCCTGCTGTGCCTCAGCCGGGGACACGGGCGCCTCTTCCGGGCACACTGAAACACGTCCTGAGCCAAGGTCTGCAGAGGGGTAAGAATTACAGCTGCGCACGCCTCTGCAAACGGTTGGCGGTCACATTGCCCTTTGAGTGGTACTGAAATCAGTATTATCTCGTCTCTCCACCCACCCACTCCATGTGTTGCTGGAGTCCTTGCCTTCTGCAAGGAAGGTTCAAGGTACGCAGAACGCAATGATGGTCAAACGCAAGCCAGCTCTGTCCTTGTTATGGGCCGAATCGTGTCCTACTTCCTCAAAAGAAATCTGTATGTTGAAGCCCTGACCCTCAGTATCTCAGAATAAGGTTGTATTTGGGATAGGGTTTTTAAAGAGGTGATTCCCTTAAAATGAGGACTTATGTGTGGGCCCTCTTTCAACGGGTGTGTGTCCTTATAAGAGGAGATTAGGACAGAGACACACACAGAGGGACAACCCTATGCACGAGCCAGGAAAGGAGGCCTCAGGAGAAACCAACACTGCTACGCCTTGTCCTTGAACTTCCAGCCTCCAGAACTGTGAGAAAGCAAATCCGTGCTGCTGAAGCCTCCCGGCATGTAGTGCTTTGCTGTGTTAGCCCCTGGAAAATTCACACAGCCCATGTTCCCATGGGAGTCTTATGGGACAGGGATCTTGATTAAAGAAAAAAAAAAGGGCCGGGCATGGTGTCTCACGCCTGTAATCCCAGCACTTTGGGAGGCCGAGGCCAGCAGATCACCTGAGGTCGGGAGTTCGAGGCCAGCCTGACCAACATGGAGAAACCCCCTTCTCTACTAAAAAAATACAAAATGAGCCGGGTGTGGTGGTGCATGCCTGTAATCCCAGCTACTCGGGAGGCTGAGGCAGGAGAATCACTTGAACCTGGGAGGCAGAGGTTGCAGTGAAATGAGATTGCGCCACTGCACTCCAGACTGGGCAACAAGAGAGAAACTCCGTCTCAAAAAAAACAAAACAAAAAAAAACAAAAAAACAAAAAACAAACTTGCTAGTGCAGTCAGTAAACACACATAGTGCCTACCAGACTCCAGTCAATCTCTCCAGCTCCGGCCTTGACACTCCCCACGTAACCCTGCTCCCCAGAGGCACTGGCCTTCGTCCAGTCCTTTGGATGTGCCTGCTTGTTCCCACCTCAGAACCTTGGCAGTTTGTCATTTCCCTCCCCTGTGTCGATCTCTCTGGATTTCCCCAGGACTGGATTCTTCCTGACTCCCCGTCTCGATCTCTCTGGATTTTCCCAGGACTGGATTCTTCCTGACTCCCCGTCTGGATCTCTCTGGATTTTCCCAGGACTGGATTCTTCCTGACTCCCCATCTCAATCTCTCTGGATTTTCCCTGGGCTGAATTCTTCCTGATAAGTCATTCTTGATATTCAAAGGTTTGCTGAAATGTCACCTCCTCAGAGAAATTCTCCCCACCGCGCCCCCAACCACTATCATGCCAACTTACTTTGCATGTCAGATGGTGTGTAGGGAGTGACTGCTGTTAGCAATGACTCTTGATTGATTTTTGTTCTGGTCGGCTTCTCATCTGCTGAAATAGAAGCCCCATGAGGGCAGGACACTTCTCCTGTGTTCACCGGTGTACTCCCAGTGCCTAGCAAGGTAAATATCATTGGCATGAATGAATGAATGAATGAGTGAATGAATGAATGAATGAAGAGCTTCTCAGAGTACTCTGAGTCTCTGTTGTCACAGGTAGGTCTTTGAATTCTACTAAGCTCATTGCAGGGGAAATTCAGTGTTTTCTTGAATCAGGGAGGACTTGGACCAGCTCCTTATCCCGCTCTACACACTCACCCCGGCAGGGCAGGTGTGGGCCGGGGTTCCCTCCCTGCGGCCAGGTTGGACTGTACCAGCTCTGGGTGTCCTGAGAATTCCTCCCCACTCTCTTTTGGCCACATAGCAGCAGGAAACCTCTGTTGGGGAAGGAGCAGTGTGGTTTCTGCTCATAGTTCCAGGGTTCAGTGGATAGCGGTGGGGGTTGATGGGCACATGTCTAGACTGAATCTTTCCTGCTCCATCCTACAGGAAGGCCTGAGATCTTCAATGCGATGCAAAGGAACCATGCCGAGAGGGAGAGGAGCAGATGGGGCAGGGGAGGCATGCAGCACAGCAGGGTCTTCCAGCCTGTACAGGAAGCTTATAAATTGAGGTGGTAGTTTTTTTGTTGTTTGTTTATTTGTTTTTTGTTTTTGAGACGGACTCTCTCTCTGTCACCCAGGCTGGAGTGCAGTGGCCAGATCTCAGCTCACTGCAAGCTCCGCCTCCCGGGTTCCCGCCATTCTCCTGCCTCAGCCTCCGGAGTAGCTGGGACTACAGGCGCCTGCCACCTCGCCCGGCTAATTTTTTGTATTTTTTAGTAGAGACGGGGTTTCACCGTGTTAGCCAGGATGGTCTCGATCTCCTGACCTCGTGATCCGCCCGTCTCGGCCTCCCAAAGTGCTGGGATTACAGGCTTGAGCCACCGCGCCCGGCCGTTTTTGGCTTTTTTTTGACATGAAGTCTCGCTGTCGTCAGGTTGAAGTGCAGACACATGATCTCAGTTCACCACAACCTCCACCTCCTGGGTTCAAGCAATTCTCCTGCCTCAACCTCCCCAGTAGCTCAGATTATAGGCACGCACCACCACGCCCAGCTAATTTTTGTATTTTTAGTAGAGATGGGGTTTCACCATATTGGTCAGGCTGGTCTCGAACTCCTGACCTAAAGTGACCTGCCCGCCTCGGCCTCCCAAACTGCTAGGTAATTGTGCCCAATCTGTGTAGTATTTTTAGTCCGACGAAAACATAATTTTCTAGCATAAATTTTCTTTTAATCTTGAACAATTGCTCATAAAGACACATCCTGAGGGCATGCTGACCTCCATTTTCATCCAATGTCTCCATGGCTGTTAATCTTGACATTTTCAGCTAAAAACAAGCAAGCCTGATTTTTGCTAAATGTTTCCAGCTAAAAGATGTCAATTGCTACAATTTAGTTTCCAGATGATCTGTCATTTTGAACAAACTTTAAGCTTTAACATTGCACTACATTCTTAAATGAAACAAAAAAACCGCACAAATCTTTGCTTGTCACAATCATCTAACATTTTATTAAATTGATGCCCGTCCTTCATTACTGTGAGGTTAAAAGCTTTTGTTCAGCTTGCCTGAGGTTTGAAAAAGGACTGTACTTGCTTTGCTTACCATACTTCCTACTTTTCATAATATATATTAGACTGTATCTGAACTGCTACGAGAGGTATTTTGTGTTTATCCAAAGGTAACAATCATTTCTTGTAGGAATGAACAAGATGCCTATTACAGAATGCGTAAGGTCTTTACCATAGTCTAAAATCATAGAAGTAAACATATACTAATTACAAGTTTTCAGATTTTTTTTCTAGATTACCCAGATTTGATTCATAGCAAATATTCTTTGTTTTTGTTTTTTAAAACAAACTCATTCCCAAGTATATAAATTGTCAATGATGGGAAAATGTAAAGAAATTTCTTTTATGTGAAAAAAAAAAAACAACCCATGATAAAAAGGAAAATCAGCACTCTGTTTTAAAAAATTATGAATTAATTTATTACAGACTTATCTCTCTAATTATCATAATTAGGTTGTCACTTAAGACAATCTTCGTTTTAAAAATTTTGTGTGTTTTTAAAGTGTTATTACTCTGTGCAAGGAAATTGTTTGATGTATTTATAACTTCTCTTGTAAAATTTTTATTCTTAAATTGTTGTATTCCTGTACTCTGAAGACATTTAAAATAAGGTTCGTGCCTGTGTAAGTAGACTCTTCAGAAATTAATTCAATAATTTGTTGTTGCTTTTGACAAATACTTATGTAAATATTGGTACTGTAAAAATTTTGCATACCTTTAAGTGTCAAGTCTATGCATCCATCTTAGCAACGGGCAGTAAATTATGTAATCTCAAGAAAAGTATTTGTTGTTCATCTGAAATTCAAATTTAACTGGGCACAGCCAGGCCCGGTGGCTCATGCCTGTTACCCCAGCACTTTGGGAGACTGAGGAGGCTGGATCGCCTGAGGTCAGGAGTTCAAGTCCAGCCTGGCCAACGTGGTGAAATCCCATCTCTGCTAAAAATACAAAAATTAGCTGAGCATGGTGGTGGGCACCTGTAGTCCCAGCTACTCGGGAGGCTAAGGCAGGAGAATCGCTTGAACCTGGAAGGTGAAGGTTGCAGTGAACTGAGATTGCACCACTGCACTCCACCCTGGGAGACAGAGCGAGACTCCGTCTCAAACCAAAAAAAAGAAAAAAAAAAAGAAATTTTACTGGGCAGTCTGTACTTTTATTTGCTAAATCTGGTGACTTTAAGTAGTGGCAAGAACAGTATTAATAATAGTGGCAAATGTTTCTTAAGTGCTTACTCAGTACCAGGACAGTTAATGTTCTGCGACATGCTTATAACATAATTTTTTAAATTATAGTTTAAAATTCTTCTTTTCTTTCTTGAGACAGAGTCCTCTCTGTTGCCCAGGCTGGGGTGCAGGGGCATGATCTCAGTTCACTGTCACCTCTGCCTCCTGGGTTCAAGTGATTCTCCTGCCTCAGCCTCCCGAGTAGCTGGGATTACAGGTGCACACCACCATGCCTGGCTAATTTTTGTATTTTTAGTAGAGATGGGGTTGTGCCATGTTGGCCAGGCTGGTCTCGAACTCCTGACCTCAGGTGATCCTCCCTCCTCAGCCTCCCAAAGTGCTGAGATGATAGGCGTGAACCACCATGCCCCGCCTGATGTTCCAGCGTTCAGTGGGTGGGGGTGGGGGATGATAGGGACATGTCAAGCCTGACTCCTGCTCCATCCTACAGGAGGGCCTGAGATCTTCAATGGGATGCAAAGGGAGAGGAGCAGATGAGGCAGGGGAGGGCTTTAGCCCATCAGGGTTTTCCAGCCTGTATAGTAAGCTTATAAATTGAGGATGTAGTATTTTTAGTCCAAGAAAAACACAACAGATCTGGTTTTCTAGCACAAATTTTCTTTTAATCTTGAACAATTGCTCATAAAGACACATCCTGAGGGCACGCTGACCTCCATTTTCATCCAATGTCTCCACGGCTGTTAATCTTGACATTTTCAGCTAAAAACAAGCAAGCCTGATTTTTGCTAAATGTTTCCAGCTAAAAGATGTCAATTGCTACAATTTAGTTTCCAGATGATCTGTCATTTTGAACAAACTTTAAGCTTTAACATTGCACTACATTCTTAAATGAAACAAAAAAACCGCACAAATCTTTGCTTGTCACAATCATCTAACATTTTATTAAATTGATGCCTGTCCTTCATTACTGTGAGGTTAAAAGCTTTTGTTCAGCTTGCCTGAGGTTTGAAAAAGAACTGTACTTGCTTTGCTTACCATACTTCCTACTTTTCATAATATATAATATTAGACTGTATCTGAACTGCTATGAGAGGTATTTTGTGTTTATCCAAAGGTAACCATCATTTCTTGTGGGAATGGACAAGATACCTCTTACAGAATGCATAAGGTTTTTACCATAGTCTAAAATCATAGAAGTAAAAATATATTGATTGCAAGTTTTCAGATTTTTTTCCAGGTTACTCGGATTTGATTCATAGAAAATATTCTTTGTTTTTGTTTTTTTAAACAGGCTTATTCCAAAGTATATAAATTGTCAGTGATGGGAAAATGTAAAGAAATTTCTTTTTTGTGAAAAAAAAAAATAGAGTGATAAAAAGAAAATCAGCACTCTGTGTTCAAAAATTATTTATGAGTTAATTTATTACAGATTTATCTCTCAATTTTCATAATTGGGTTGCCACTTAAGACAATCTTTGTTTTAAAAATGTTACATATTTTTAAAATGTTATTACTCTATGCAAGGAAATTGATATATTTATACCTTCTGTTGTGGTAAAATTATTCTTAAATTATTGTATTCCTATACTCTGAAGACATTTAAAATAAGTTTTCATGCCTGTGTAAGTAGACTCTTCAGAAATTAATTCAAGAATTTGTTGTTTCTTTTGGCAAAATACTTATGTAAATATTGGTAGCATAAAATTTTTGCATACCTTTAGGCATCAAGTCTATGCATCCGTCTTGGCAATGGGCAGTAAACTATGCAATCTCACAAAAAGTATTTGTTGTTTATCTGAAATTCGAATTACCTCGGTCACCTGTGAGTTGTTTTTTTTTTTTGAGACAGTTACCTGTGAGTTCCCACTGAACCGCGGCCACCTGCGGCGAGCTCCCACTGAACTGCAGGCCCTGAAGTGAGTCCGGGATGGATTTGCCAAACAAAGACATCACCAACACCACAGAATAAGGTTCTAGACAAGGAACAAAGAAACAAGCAACAAGTGTTCGAGGAAGAGAATAATGGATCTCATTTATTCTAAGGCATATTTTTTAGACTTTAAAACTTTCGCCATAATTTAGTAAACAGCATTTTTCTTTCATCATGGTGCCTCAAATAATATGCATCTTGAAAATGCATGACCTCAACCAAAAAAAAAAAAAAGGGAAAAACAGCAAATGAACGAGATATTTAATACAGGCATTTGAGTAATACCAATTGATGACTACTGTTAGGGAAAAATGTTCCACAGCATTTTAGATTCGGTTTCAAAATGTTTAAAGTGACACATAATAATTGTATGTATTTATTGGGTACAATGTGATGTATGTATGTACACACTGTGGAATGATTAAATCAAGCTAATTAACATATCCATCACTTTACCTACTTATCAGTTCTTGTGGTGAAAACATTTAAAATCTACTATTCTAGTTTTAAAATATACGATACGTTATTATTCACTACAGCTACTATGCTGTACGATAGATCACTAAAACTTACTTCTGTCTAAGTGAAACTCACCCTTTGATTAACTCTTTTTTTTTTTTTTTTTAAATCGAGATGGAGTCTTGCTCTGTCACCCAGGCTGGAGTGCAGTGGCACGATCTTGGCTCATTGCAGCCTTCGCCTCCCGAGTTCAAGCAATTCTCATGCCTCATCCTCCCGAGTAGTTGGGACTACAGGTGTCCGCCACGATGCCTGGCTAATTTTTGTATTTTTAGTACAGATGAGGTTTCACTATATTGGCCAGGCTAGTCTTGAACTCCTGACCTCAGGTGATCCGCCCACCTCAGCCTCCCAAAGTGCTGGGATTACAGGTGTGAGCCACTGCACCCGGCCTCTATGGAATATTTTGAAGTTGCTAAGAGTAGATTTTAAATGTTCTCATCACAAAAATGGTAAGTAGGTGAGATGATGGATAATTAGCTTGTTATAACCATTCCACAATGTATACCTGGATCAGAACATCACATTGTACCCGCCCCCCACAACACACACACGTTTTATTCTGTTACCAGTCAGGGCCAGGTCCCCTCTGTGTGCACACGGTAAATCAATCACTGACACAGGCTTTGCAAAAGATATAAGATTTATTTGCAAGAGCACCAAGGAAGGAGGTGGGAGAACATCTCTCAGACCTGCCTCCCTGAAGGTGAGGCTTTGGGAGATGTATGGGTTGGGGGAGTGGAGTGGCCTGAGGCGTGCGGGAAGGTGATTGACAGTGGAGAAAATGAAGTGACAGGTGCGTACTGCACAAGCATCGTCGGGCTTCACGGCATTTTACAGGACACATGTACTGGAAATGGCGGTGCCGGCATGATCTGAGGGTGGAGTTTTTGGCCTCTGAGGTCAGAAGGCCATCTCTCCAGCAGTGTATTCACACTCCCTTTCCCCACGTCGTGGAAAACCAAAAAGTGCACGTTATCTCTTGTAAGTGGGAGCTAAGCTACGAGTCTGCAAAGGCATGCAGAGTGATGGAACGGGCTTTAGAGACTCAGGAGGCCAGGTGCGGTGGCTCACGCCTGTAATCCCAGCATTTTGGGAGGCTGAGGCCGGTGGATCACCTGAGGTCAGGAGTTCGAGACTAGCCTGGCCAACATGATGAAACCCTGTCTCTACTAAAAATAAAAATACAAAATGAACCAGGCGTGTGGTGTGTGCCTATCATCCCGGCTACTCTGGAGGCTGAGACAGGAGAACCGCTTGAACCCAGGAGGCGGAAGTTGCAGCGAGCCAAGATTGCACCACTGCACTCCAGCCTGAGCAGTGTCAATTTTTTATGTCTCAATAAAAAAGAGAAAGAAAGAAGGAAGGAAGGAAGGAAGGAAGGAAGGAAGGAAGGAAGGAAAGAAGGAAGGAGAAGGAAGGAAGGAAGGAAGGAAGGATAGAAGGAAACAAGAAGGAAAGAAGGAAGGAGAAAGAAAGAAACTCAGGAGGAAGAGGGTGGGAATGGGGCTAGGGATAAAAAACTACACATTAGGTGCAATGTAGACGACTTGGGTGACAGGTGCACTAAAATCTCAGAATTCACCACTATATAATTGATGCATGTAAAAAAAAGCCACCTGTACCCCAAACGCTACTGAAATAAAAATTAAAAAAAACAAAAAACAAACAAAAAAGCCCGGCCATCTCTTAGGCGTTTGCCCCTAGGGGTCCAGTTGGCGGGCTGGTGGTCTCAACCGGTTTGAACTTGATTCCTGAACAACAACAGAAGCAGCCATCACCATGGTGACAGTGAGTGTTATCTATCCAACGGCCAGTGAAGGTTAAATCTGAGCAGTCAGTGGTGTGGCCTTCAGCTTTGTCGAAAGAGGAACAGAAAATAACAGAAAACAAATGCCTGAAAGCAAGCTGGGCTGGCAGACCTGGTCAAATTAACCCTTCAGTTTCAATTCGTCAATTAAAAATAAAATTTTAGGCTGGGTGCAGTGTCTCACGCCTATCATCCCAGCACTTTTGGAGGCCGAGACGGGAAGATCACCTGAGGTCAGGAGTCCGAGACCAGCCTGACCAACGTGGTGAAACCCCCATCTCTACTAAAAATACAAAACTTAGCCAGACATGGTGGGGAGTGGCTGTAATCCCAGCTCCTTGGGAGGCTGAGGCAGGAGAATCGCTTGAACCTGGGAGGTGGAGGCTGCAGTGAGCCGAGATTGCGCCACTGCGCTCTAGCCTGGGACACAAGAGCAAAACTGTCTCAAAAAAAAAAAAAAAAAAAAATTAAAGTAAAAAAGTAAAATAAAATAAAAATTTAAATGGCAAAAAAAGCAGCCGGCCCTCTTCGCACCCTGGCTTAAGGCAGTAGTCACCATCTGCTATTCTCTCTCTGTTTCTTGGTTGTGGCTGGGCTCAGCTACCTCTGTTCTCACTCAGGCCCTCTCCAGTGACTGCGGTCAGTGATGACGCTCAGGGCTGAGTCCTTTTGAAGGTGTCTGTGCCCACGTGTCATGCCCAGCCTGGGAGGAGGTGGGCACTGGACACTGGGATGGCCAGAAACCCGGCATCTCTACCTCTGGGTGGTCCTCCCAAACAGCCTTTCCTGCGTGGCCACTTCTGTCCAGCTGGACGTCTCACCCCAGCTGCAAAGGAACATTCCCAGGACGTGGTTTTACCCTCTTTCTGACCCAGTTTTGGAAACCACACAGCATTGCTTACACTGCCGTGGGCTTCCTGTCACAGCTGGAACAAATCGCCACAGACTCGGACATTAAAAACAATACCCCTTCACTATCCTACAGTCCTGGAGGTCAGAAATCCCACCTGGGTCTCACTGGGCTAAAATCAGTCCACAGAGCTGCATTCCTTCTGCAGGTCGCGGTGTGGGGGGAGAATCGCCTCCTTGCCTTTTCCAGCTTGTGGGGACCGCCCCTCTCACATTCCCTGGCTCAGGGCTCCTGCCTCCCTCTTCAAGGCCAGCGTGGTTGGCTGAGTCCTTCTCACATCCATCCCTCTGGCTTCTTTAACGCCTTTTAAACAAACTTTTGTGATGACAGTGGTTCCACCTGGATAATCCAGGATCATCTCCTGATTTTAAGGGCTATTGATCAGCAACCTTACTCCCACCTGTATCCTTAATTCCCTTTGCCACCTAATGTAACCTGTTCTCTGACCACTCCGTCCCCTGGGAGAATCCTACGCTCCTTCTCCTGGACGCCCACCCACATGTGTTTTCTGCAGCTCTCGTAACAAAGCATCACAGACCAGACACCTTAAGACAATGGACATTTGTTCTCTCACAGTCCTGGAATCTCAAACTGTGAAACCAAGGCGTTGCGAGTGTATGCCCCCTGTGAGGGCTTGAAGAGAGAATCCTTTCTGGCGTCTTCTAGCACCTGGCAGTTCCCAGTGCCCCTTGGCATGTGGCCACATCACTCCAATCTCTGCCTCCATCTAACATGGTCTTCCTTCTGTGTCTGGGTCCTCTCCTCTTCTTACGAGGATATCAGTCATGTCAGGTTAAAGCCCATCCAACTGACTTGATGTTAACGTGGCTGCCTCCCGTAAAGACCTTATTTTCAACGGAGGTCACATTCACAGGTACCAGGGGACAGGATGCCAACTTGTCTTTGGGGGATCCGCTGCAACCCATAATACTACCCATTGACTCTCTCTCTTCTACGTCCACCATCTCCCTATGAACCTCTCAATTATTCCACTTCCTCCGTCCACCCTCTCCCTGCGAACCTCTCCATTATTCGACTCTCTCTTCTACGTCCACCATCTCCCTATGAACCTCTCAATTATTCCACTTCCTCCGTCCACCCTCTCCCTGCGAACCTCTCCATTATTCCACTTCCTCCGTCCACCCCTCTCCTGCGAACCTCCATTATTCAACTTCCTACACCCAATTGCTTCCACTTCCTCCGTCCACCCTCTCCCTGCGAACCTCTCCATTATTCAACTTCCTACACCCACCGTCTCCCTGTGAACCTCTCCATTATTCCACTTCCTCCGTCCACCGTCTCCCTGTGAACCTCTCCATTATTCCACTTCCTCCGTCCACCCTCTCCCCATGAACCTCTCATTTATTCCACTTATCTCCAGTCCCTCCATCACCACCCACTGCCTTTTCATAGCCAGTTACAACAGCCCCATCTTGGGGTCCTTTTCCCACTTCATACCTCCAATCCTTCTGCCAAAGTCCCTGTGTGCCAAAGGCTGGGTGGGGAATTAGGACACTGCTGGGCAAATCTGGTCACCACACATGTCCTGTGTCTCACCTGGGTTCTCTCCCTTTTCTTTCTTTCTTTCTTTTTCTTTCTTTCTTTCCTTCCTTTCCTTTCCTTTCTCTCCTTTCCTTTCCTTTCTCTCCTTTCCTTTCCTTCCTTCCTTCCTTCTTTTCCCTCCCTACCTCCCTCCCTTTCTTTCTTTCTCTTTTTCTTTCTTTCTTTCTTTCTTTCTTTCTTTCTCTCTCTCTTTCTTTCTCTTTCTTTTCTTTCCTTCCTTCCTCCCTCCCTCCCTCCCTTTCTTCCTTCCTTCCTTCCTTCCTTCCTTCCTTCCTTCCTTCCTTCCTCCCTCCCTCCTTCCCTCCCTTCCTTTCTTCCTTTCTATTTCTTTCTCTCTTCTCTTCTTTCTTCTTTTTTTGAGATGGAGTCTTGCTCTGTCACCCAGACTGGAGTGCAGTGGTGAGATCTTTGCTCGCTGCAACCTCCGTCTCCCAGTTCAA